AAAAGGTGGTGATAAAATAGTATTTAATGTGGCTACACTTTTGTTAATCTAAGAAATTTGGTACAGAAAAGAAAGAGATGGAGTGTCATCATCTCGAACAAAGATGTGTGGGCAGGTAGGTGTCATAGTTTTTCCCTAATTCCTGTTTTAAACTTTTATTTTGAAGGGACTTCCTGTGTTGTGTCGCTCTTAGCTACCTCAGTTTTATTCTGGCCATTGATTACCACTCATTACTTTCACTTGTTGCTCATTGTCTTCATGCCTCAGCCTTTATATTCTCCTCACCTCCCTCAGATCGCTGGCTTGCCTTGGCATCACGCTTCACTTCTGCTCTTGTTTTTGTCTTCCTTTTCATGGCGTTCTCCTGTTTTGTTGGGCTCCTGTTTTCCTGTAGGACTCTAAAACTTGTACCTAATCTCTGGGCTCTAGAGTTTGATTATTTTGGACTCTCATTTTCTACCTATGGTGTTTGGTTTCTTGCATCCTTTGTTCTCTCTGCTTGTTAGACTTGTTACTTATGTTTGTAGTCTCCTGATATCGCTCCCTGACAGTTGTGGTTAGTTTGCTGTATTTCTGTACTTTTCCATACATCCATCCATCGTTGCCCGCTTTATCCGCGACCGGGTCACTGGGGCAGTAGCCCGAGCAGAGCCTCCCAGACTTCCCTCTCCCCACACACCTCCTCTAGCTCCTCAGGAGGAAGACATAGTCTGCCCAGAGGGACATGCCCGGAATACCTCCCCAGGGAGGCATCCAGGGGACATCTTAACAGGTGTCCGAGCCACCTCAACTGGTTCCGCTCAATGTTGAGGAGCAGTGGCTGTACTCTGAGCTCCTCACGGGTTCGCACCCTATCCCTAAGGGTGCACCAAGCTACTCTCCGAAGGAAACTCATTTCTGCCGATTGTATCCACGATCTCATTCTTTCGGTCATGATCCAAAGTTCATGGCCAAAGGTGAGGGTAGAAACGTAGACTGACCAGTAAATTGAGAGCTTCGTCTTACGACTCAGCTCCTTCTTCACCACAATGGACCGGTACTGGACCGGTACAGAGACTGCATTACTGCGGATGCCACACCGATCCGTCTGCTCCATTTTTCCCTCACTCGTGAACAAGACCTCGAGATACTTAAACTCCTCCACTTACGGGGACCAACTCGCCCCCAACCCAGAGAGGGCAGTCCACCTTTTTCTGATTGAGAACCATGGCATCGGATTTAGAGGTGCTAATTCTCATCTCCACTGCTTCATGCTCAGCTGCAAACTCCTCCAATGCATGCTGTAGGTCTTGAACTGATGAAGCCAACAGAACCACATCATCGACAAGAAGGGGTTGAGATTCTGCGGCCACCAAAACAGACGCCTTGCGTTCCTTGGTGGAGTCCAACATGCACCAGAAACAGGTCTGACTTACTGCCAGCGATGCGAACCAAGCTCCTACTCTGGTTGTACAGGCAACGGACAGCCTGTAATAACGTACCCCATAATCCCGAAGTACCTCCCACAGGATGCCACAAGGGACACAGCTGAATGCCTTCTCCAGATCCACAAAACACATGTAGACTGGTTGGGCAAACTCCCATGAACCTTTTTATAAAGGGGGACCACCACCCCAGTCTGCCAGTCCAGTGGCACTGTCCCCAAACTCCATGCAATGCTGCAGAGGCATGGCAGCCAAGACAGCCCCACAACATCCATAGACTTGAGAAACTCAGGGTGGACCTCATCCACCCCCAGAGCCTTGCTACCGAGGAGTTCCTTAACTGCCTCAGCAACTTTAGCTAGGGTAATGGACAAGTCCCCTCCTGAGTCCCCAGCTCTGGCTTCCTTTACAGAAGGCATGTTGGCGGGATTGAGGAGATCTTCAAAGTACTCCTTCCACCGGCCGATGACATCCTCAGCTGAGGTGAGCACCACACCACCTCCACTGTAAACAGTGTTGGTAGAACACTGCTTCCCCCTCCTGAGCCACAGGACAGTTCTCCAGAATCTCTTTGAAGCCAAACAAAAGTCCATGGCTTCATCAAACCCCTCCCAGGCCCGAGTTTTTGCCATGGTGACTGCCAGAGCTGCGTCCCACTTGGCCTGTCGGTACCTGCCAGCTGCTTCAGGAGTCCCATGAGCCAACCAGGCCCAATAGAGCCCCTTTCTTCAGCTTGACGGCATCCCTTACTTGCAGTGTCCACCACCATGTTTGGGGATTGCCACCGTGACAGGCATCAGAGACCTTACGCCCACGACTCCCAGCAGCCACCCTGACAACAGAGGTGTGGAACATAGTCCATTTGTACTCAGTGTCCCCCCCTCCCTCGGCACCTGTTTGAAGCTTTGTCGTAGGTGGGAGTTGAAGACATCTCTGACAGGGGCCTCTGCCAGACGTTCCCAACAGACCCCTCACTATACGCTTGGGCCTGCCAGGTCTGTCCAGCTTTTTCCCCCACCATCGAATCCAACTCACCACCACGTGATGATCAGTTGACAGCTCAGCCCCTCTCTTCACCCAAGTGTCCAAAACATATGGCCGAAGATCCGAGGAAACGACCACAAAGTCGATCATTGACCTCCGACCTAGGTTGCCCCGGTGCCATGTGCACTGATGGACACTCCTATGTTTGAACATGGTGTTGGTTATGGACAAACCATGACTAGCACAAAAATCCAATAACATCTCACCACTCGGGTTCAGATCAGGGAGGCCGTTTGTCCCAATCACGCCCCTCCAGTTATCACTGTTGTTGCCCACATGGGCATTAAAGTCCCTCAGTAGAATGGCAGAGTTCCCCGTGGGAGCGTTTTCCAACACGCCCCTCAGGGACCCTAAAAAGTTTGAATACTCTACACTGCCATTAGGTGCATAAGCACAAACGATAGTGAGAGACCGTTCCCTGACCCGAAGGCGTGGGAAATGACCCTCTCATCCACCGGGGTAGACTCCAACACCTGACGACTGAGCTGGTGGGGCTATGAGCAAGCCCACACCAGCTCGTTACCTCTCACCCTGAGAAGCGCCAGAATAATGGAGGGTCCACCCTTTGTTGAGAAGAATGGTTCCAGAACCCAAGCTGTGAGTGGAAGTGAAACCGACTATATCTAGACGGTATCTCTCAACCTTCTGCACCAGCTCAGCTTCCTTCCTTGCCAGTGAGGTGACATTCCAAGTCCCAAAAACCAGTTGGCGTCCAAGGTTTGGGTCGCCCAGGCAATCGGCCCCGGCCACTGCCCAAAACATAATGCACCAGCCCCTTACGGCCTCTCCAGCAGGTGGCTCCACGTTATGGTTTCGGGTTGAGCCTGACCAGGCCCTGTGGGTATAGGCCTGGCCACCAGGCGCTCACATGCGAGCCCCTCCCCCAGGCCTGGCTCCTGGGTGAGGCCCCGGTGACCCCATACCAGGTGGGGTAAACGTGAGCCTTGATTTTTTTTATTCGACATAAGTGGCCTATGAACCCCCCTTTGTCTGGTCTGTCACCAAGGACCTGTTTGCCATGAGAGACCCTATCGGGGACATATAGCCCCTGAAAACATTGCTCCTGGGATCATTCAGGCACTCAAACCCCTCCACCACATTAAGGTGTCGGTTCCAGGGAGGGGCTTTTCTGTACTTTTATGTTGCATTTAGTCAGGTTGAGTTTTTGAGTTTGCTGATCTGTTTGTTGTAGGCCTTTGCTTTGTGTGGCTGATATTAACAAACCAGCAAGAATGGACCCAGCAGACAAGGACAGAGAGGGGTGGTCCAGGTTCTTCAGGCTCAGGAGAAAAAAATAGCTTTAGCTGTCATTCATTTCTGTTTCTTTTGTGTTTTTGATGACTGTGCTAGACAAGGTCAAGTTATCTTTAAGTCTCCATAATCTCAAAACCCATGCTGAGATGCGTCTAATGAAAATATCAGGCAAATCTTTTCATCTGCTGGGACATACTGTATTCCTCATGATGAGAGAGCTGTTCTTTATGTATAAATTTGGAGGAATTGCCCTTTAATGGAAGACTTAGTACAAATTATCTTGATCAATTTTCTTGATACATCCATTATTTTAGATGGACTGTGTCTGTATGGTCATTTCTGTGGTATGCCTTCTACTTCAAAGTCCTTTTTTTTTCTTGTTAGCCCTCAACACACATTTCCATCTGAGTATGAGACTAGCTCTCTTCTTTAGAATGGTTCTTTTCTGCAATTTAAGTCACATCCAGAAGTCTGGAGTATATCATCAACACTGATAAGAAGATATCTCTGCTCCTCCCTCTCACAACACTAGATCAGACTAGATGTACAGGCAGTCTCATACACAAACACACACACACACACACACACACAGACACAGAAATGAGATATTCTCAAGTCATCTACTCCGTGTGCTCTGCATTCTTGTCATTCATAAAAGATCAGAGCTTTGCTACTTCTGTAGTAGCAGCTGGCTTCCTTATGCATTCTTGGTAACAGCGAGATAGGCTGTTAGAGTGTCTTCCTTTTGTCTTTGTCTCTCTCACACATACACGCTCACAGTTCTGTACCCCACTGGGAGTGTTTTCAAGTTTGTTGCACATTTGCTATTTCCTGAATCAGCTGTAGAGCTCTGTACAACTGGAATATTAAAACAGAACTGCATCAGGATTGTCCAAACAACCAAAGTCTGTCTGTTATCTACAACTTCAGTGCTCTGTGGACAGCTCTGTCCAGCTTTAATACATGCATGACAGCAGTGTCCTCTATGAACCATGAGAAGGGACTCCCAGAGAGTCATCTTTTCTGGTTAGTCAATATCATGATGTCTTTCAAAACCTATCAAAATATCATAATATGCTTGAATAAAATCACATTTCTTTTGGGGATGTGATCATTAAGATTATTGCCAACTTGATGATGTTTTTCTTCAGGGACAGATGACGCTTGTGTGTTGATTCCCAATTCACAGCAAATTGGCTGCTTCTAAAATGTTCAAAGGCTTCTTATAAATGAGTAGTTGAATGAACTGTGTTGTCTCCATGTCCTTTGCCTTTCCAGAAACTGTTTGGTGGCCATGAACCATCATCTGTTCAGCTCTGGGTCTCCTACAACCGTCAGCCAATGAAAGCTGCCCAGTTTATGACCCGCCATCCAATCACAGTGAGTCTCCTTTTTACATGTTGAGTAATGATTTCAAAGTGAATAATTTCTGAAAGCCTAATCAGTGGACTAAATGATGTGATGGTTGGCTATTTTTTGTGCAGACTGAAATGTATCGGTTACAGCATCTTAAGATGTAGGCAGGTGGAGGCTTGCTCTCAGTTCAACAACAGCACCTCCACAAAAGCACTTGGGCCTGTATTTATCAAGCATCTCAAGATCACTCCTAGGAGTTGTGCTGAAAGCTAACTTAGGACTAAAAAATGTCTTACCTCAGAGTAGGACTTAAAAGTTATTTATGAAGCGTCCTCCTCTCCCTTTCAGGAACAGGTGTGATGTCACTGCTTTGCAACACAAAGCTGCAAAGGCATTGTTATACTGACGTGATGTAGTTTTTCTGACAGTCGGGGTTTGTAGTTATAGACAGTGGAAACTGAAATGTTTATCAGTGTCACTTGTCAAGTGAAGGCTTTATGTGTATAGACAAGAAGCTGGTAACAGAAAATAACACGTTCATTATATGCTGTATTAATGTGCTTCAGTTCTCTTTCTGCAATAGGCGGCAAGCTTATTGGAAAGCCATTCATAATGTGACTTACCTGTGTGAAATCATCTTTATCAGCCCTACCCTATTGTCTCTAATTCCCTATAATAAAGCTGTGGAACAGGGGGAACATATTTATTTAAAGATAAAAGTTTCAGTCCACTTTCACTGTCACTTGAATCGTGTGTTGCTCCACTTGGCTGCTGAATCCAGTAAATCAAGGATCATGTAGTTCACATCTGCTTAAGTGTTAATGCTGTGAGAATGTTTTAAATTCACAGAAATGCCCTTGTTGGTGCTCGGGGCAGTAATTTTAATGTGTGTACCATTGATTACTGCAACATGTCCAAGGAAACCAGCAATTTGGCTGATTAACAGTGAGTGGCCTTGAAATGAACGAATTATTAAAGCGAAAACTGTTGGCCTTAACAGACTCAAATCATTGTTGCTGGACCTGCATAAAATGTAGCCTAAAGATGCAGTGACTGCAGTTTCAGGGGAGACACCATGTGTTCTTTTTGTTGGAATAATTGCATCTTGCAAAATATCCGTCACAAAAACTATTCTACTTATGGCCATACTGCATCTTTTAATGAGCTCAGCCTCATTGGGTGTAAGTAAAACATCTCTCATCCTGCTGAGTCTGTGCTTATCTCTCTCTGGACACCACCTCCTGGCAGCTCCTAGCTGGTTAGGACACCTCTGGACCTGGCATACATTTTGGTGGAGATGGGAGTGATTTCCTAAGTTAGGAGTACTGATAAATTGCTCTTACTTGTACTCCTAAAAGTAGGACCAAAAATGCATCATTCTGAGAATTTTTGGCCAGTTAGGAGTGATTTCCTACTTTGAGATGCTTGATAAATATGGACCCTGGCCTCTGAGTTAAGTGATTTGACTGACTCCCATCCAGCCAAAAAGAAAACAGAACAAGAATTACCACATTGCAGTTATATGCCTCTGCCAACCAGTCCACTGGAATGGGACAGATGTGATATCACAGTGGCCATGACCACTGACCATAAAAATTTAATCGGTACCTGGACACTTGTGTGAAATTGAAAGAAATTCCCTCAAGATATTGCTGACATCTCGTTCACAATAATGTGACGTGCAGATGGAAAACCCAAAAATATCAAGCCTCCGGCCATGGCTGTTGCTGGCATGGAGCCATAAAAATGATAATGTGAGTCTAATAATATGAGCTTACTCCTCAGCCTAACCTAAATATTTTAAAGTCAAGTTTCAAGACCTGCCTTTATAGGATGTTCAGAGTGTGTCCCATGGTCTTCTTCAACGAATGAACTTGTTATCACCTTGTAGGCTGTGGTGTACCATTGAAAGCAGCAGAAGAAAATTTTGTTGTTTACAGTATTTTGCCACAGAAAATGCAAGAAGATCTACTTTGATAGAGATCTACTGTACTTTGTACAAATTAGATGCAAACCATGCAGAAGATGTTTAAACTCAGAATGAACCTGATCATGAGGAATTTGGTCCTCCAGTGTATCATAGTCTGTGACCCTGTACAGATCAGAGTTGGTCTCATTACACCTCCAGCTCTGCTCCACTATTCCAGTACACTGTTGTTTCCATTCATAAAATATATGACACCATCACTTTGGTGGAAGAACCACCTACACCCCCCTACCTGCCTGTACTAGTGATATCCCGTCTTTTCACATTGTGTCCTCAGTCACTTAAAGATGACCTCCTCTCTCTGCATCTTTTCCTCACAGGAGTACTACATTGCAGATGCATCTGAGGACCAGGTTTTTGTGTGCGTGAACCACCGGAACAATGTCACACATCTTTACATCTCAGATACACAGGGCCTGTCCTTTTCCCTGTCACTGGAGAATGTTCTGTACTACAACCCTGCAGGCTCTGGCAGCAACACACTCATCAGGTACAATACACACACATTATCTTACATTTGTCAAAAACTTGTTAGGTTTGCTGGTGACAAAGGTTCAGTGAGAACCTCTCGTTAGCAAAGTGCCAATATCACTAAAACTGCACTGACCCACTTCGAATAAAACCCTCTGCCTGCCACAGTAACTCAGCCACTGCTGGATCTGACCTGGACGCTGTGTTTTCATGGCTTCATCTGTGGTGGAAGAAGTATTCAGGTTTCTTACTTCACATGAAGATTGCCATTTCTGTCTTCACACTTATCTGATAGATCTGGCAGTTTTCACATCTCTACTTTAAGGGTGTGCAAAACGTATCATCGATGATAATATATTAACTGCTGTTTTAATGATGTGCCGGCTGGTAATAATGAGTTTGTCACTAACTTTACAAAAACATGCCTTGAGAGTCCACACATTCACATCGTCATGTAGCCTGGTTGGAGAGACTTCTGCTCCTGCACTTTGAAAGTGCATGGAGTATGTAGCCTACATGATCAGTGCACCAAAAGTTAAGCGAGTGTAGTTGCCTGAAAATGAGCGAACAGATGGGGCCAAGAGACTAAATACTGACACCAAAAGCCTCGCAATCTACGTAGTTAATTTAATTGTGAGACGCAGGTCATCCTCACTTGCACAGAGGTATTTTGGCTTTGAAAGATGGATTTTGCTCGAACAACAGTAATCTGGAAACGGTTTGAAATTGGTTACTGTTAAAGCAAACATGATAGCTTGTTTCACCATCTGTGTGCGTACTAACCACCGCAGAGTATATGCAGACTATAAAAAGCTTCAGCAGTCAGCTGCCAACGACAGAAATAAACCAGCCAAGGTACCAGAGCAAAAACACACTCAGCAAACTTTAGCACAATCATTCTGCAAAGTCATTTCAATGTTTGTGTATTGTTGTACTTTAATGTTTAATTTTTAAGTAAAATCGCTATATGAAATCTGTTGTTTCCATTAATATCATTAGTAAGCTATTTCCATCCATCCATACTCTGTACTGCTAATTCCTGAATAGGGTCACAGGGGGTCTGAAGCCAATCCCAGCTGATAATGAGTGAAAGGCGGGGTCCACCCTGGACAGGTCATCAGTCTATCACAGGACTGACATGTAAACAGTCATACACACTCACTCACTCCTAAGGGCAATTTAGAGTCACCAGTCAACCTAAGCTGCATGTCTTTGGACTGTGGGAGGAAGCCGGAGTACCTGGAGAGAACCCACGCAGGGAGAACATGCAGACTCCACACTGAAAGGCTGACAATTATTGACACTAAGCTCATACAAAGATAATCTATGGCCAAAAACGGAGTACTTTTGTGACAGATGTTGTGTGGGATGCAGTTGCTCCATCCACAACAAGAACACATGCTGTCTCCACAGAAACCATGTTCATTTAATTATGCCATTATTATTAAAAGGAACGGTGTGGCCGTGCAACAGTGGTGATTTATTAAAGCTGACAGCTTCAGCCATAATAAACTTTGCTCGCTTTCAGCTCAACAGAATTCCTTCACCATGTAGTGTGATATCAGTGACAAGCTAGCTTCATTTATGGAAATTGCAGGTTTTCCTGGATTTGTTGGAGACATTGACTGCACACTCATTAAAGTCACTGCCCCACAAAGTGACAGGGATGATGAATGCACATCAAAAACATGATCACAGCATTAGTACTCCAGTGGTTATGGATGACAACATGTGATCTTTGATTTAGTGGATCTGCACGCAGCTCGAACATCCTCAGTTAGAGCACACTAAAGCTTTTATTTGAAAACAATCATGTACCCCTGGATACAAAGCTTTATTATAGGATTTAGAAAAAATGCAGAGTAGAGTCACATTACAAGTGTCTTTCCAATAAGCTACAGAATTGGTTAAAAACAAGTATAGTGCCAAAATATTCTAAGCATGTTAACTTTTGTTACCAGCTTTTTGCCTAAACACATACAGGTGCTAATTTCCGCATTTCAGTTTTCCCACTGTCTAAAACTACAAACCTCTATTGTCAGAAAAAGATTGCACCACGTCACTATAACGTCGACTCGACTGTTGTAAAACGGTGATGTCACACTTGTTGTTTGTAGTCGAATTTCTGCTCTCTGAATGTCCAGAGTCCTGCTTTGAGGTTGTAGTGTCTTTAGTCGTGTTACGGCCCTGGTCTTTTCACCCATCCCCTCATGTCTAACCTTTATTCCCCCTTTTGTCATGTGCTATGTAATTTAATTTGCTGTTGATTTTATGCAGTAACTTAATAAGACATAGTGTTATAGTAAACTGTTATACAGTAAATGTTTGTAATAGGTTGTACACTAACATTTAATTAAATCTGCAAGAAAATACGTGGAGCCTCTTTGCATATAACACAGGGTAAGTACTGGATGGCTGGCTACTGCCTAACTTACTATTCAAGCCAAGCCAAATTTTCTACATAATAGGCTGTGCATTTTCTTAACCAATACATGGTGTAAATAGACTACGTTTAACTCCATGGATGCACTCAAAATCAACAAGACCTGACTATCAGTGTGTCTGGCAATTAAGTTGTGCATGCTTTAGCATGGAAGGCAAGTTTAACACTTAAAAATAAACCTGTTAAGTAGAAGGTTAGCCCACTTAGCTGGCTGGGCTAATGACATTTCAGTAAAGCTAAACCCTCATAATACATAACATTACACCACCTTGCTCCTGAGAGGGCACTGGCTGCAGACTGTGAAAGTGCAGGGTGTCCCCACTGTATACCTACAGTACAAGTTAAGCACTATCTGCAGCCTTGCTAGTAATTGAGGTGTTCCCATAGTAACCCCAGGAATTGATTCTAGTTCCCATTACAAATGCTTAACACTGACTATGCAAACGCTTTGTAAACACCAATCTGTAAGGGTTCCTTATCTAAGAAACAGCATTGGCTAATCTGATTCTTTGGTCCGATGCTCTGTCAGACCTCTGAGCTCTGTATTTCTTGTTTTCCTGCTTGCCTAATCACATCACAAAGATCCATTGTTGTTTTGACAGAAGCACTGTTGCTCAGGTATGCCTGCCACTGATGATTCTTTTGTTTGCCATGGTGTCTTCTGTTAATGAATTGAGCTGTAAATCTTTGTTCTTTTTGTGTCTTAGTCCTCATGTACTGTATTTTTGGTAAACATAAAACATTGGATGTTCAACAGAAAGGTAAAAATATGTTTGCTCTATGTATGCAGTCTATTTTTTGTCACATCAGTTCTGGGTAATGAAGTTTCTTGCTTACCTCTGCTGTGTGTGAACTGGCCTTGGGCAGCTATAAATTTCAAAATGCTAACGTATTTGGTATGGCCTTGTCAATTTTGTGTTTTTGAGCCAAGTGAACTGTATATACCATAATAAATGAATCAGCAAAACATTTTCTCAGCTGTAGTGGGGCTGGAATTATCACCAAAAGTATAAATTGCTTCTTAATTTGGACCATTATCAGGTATTGTGACACAAAGACAAAAAAATGTAAGTCCTCCTCAATGCCATTATGTATCTCATCTGTGTTTCAGGTACTTTGCCAATGAGCCTTTTGCAGACCTGCACCGTGTTGAGGGCCTGCGAGGTGTCTTCATTGCCACGCTCATCAACGGCTCGGTTAGTGAGGACAACATGCGATCCGTCATCACTTTTGACAAGGGAGGGACATGGGAGCTGCTTCAGCCACCAGCTGCAGACAGCCTGGGAGGAACTGTGGACTGCCAGGTACGCTGGCAAACCCACATCTTTAATGGGTCTGCATTTTTATTTGCAAGCATCAGACATCGCTATCCACTTCTGTTATCATTGATGTGATTAGTTATTTTTCAACTTGTCAGACTCAGAAGCACAGTATCTTGCACAGCTGCTCATGTTTTCACCCATCTGTACTACCACAGAGAGTACATGACCTCTGCTTTGAAACCATGCATAGCAGCTGTAAAGAATAATGTGGCTTGGTTTTGCAGATGTCTGGATGTGCCTGTGTGGGGAATAGGATGTATGGCTTCATTCTTGCATCTACTGAAGTGATTTAATTTATTAGGCTGTTGGAAGGAAATTAATGAACAAGAGTTCTGATAACTGATTAAAGGTTCAAATCATTTATACTTTACATTCTATTTATTTAGCAAGAATACCAAACAATTGCAGATTTCATCTTCTAAAATGTTACTGGAGTTTAGGCAGCATTTTGTGCTCATATGACTTTCCATTGCAGGCAGTCTGTGACATTTTAGGAAGCTCTCTACAATATAGCATTGTCAAATATTTACATTATGCAGTTGTATCTTAAATGGAAGCTTGTTATTTACTGGCAGCGAGGAGCCTTGCAAATATTAGTCGAATGCTAGCTGGCACTTTTTAGCAGCAAATACAACCACATAACAATGGTTAATATACAGTATATCACAGAAGTGAGTACACCCCCTCACATTTTGTAAATATTTAAGTATATCTTTTTATGTGACAACACTGAAGAAATGACACTTGGCTACAATGTAAAGTAGTGAGTCTACAGCTTGTATAACAGTGTAAATGTGCTGTCCCAATGAACTGTAGCTCCCCAGTGCCGGCAGCACTCATGCAGCCCCAGACCATGACATTCCCACCACCATACTTGACTGTAGGCAAGACACACTTGTCTTTGTACTCTTCACCTGGTTGCCGCCACACACACTTGACACCATCTGAACCAAATAAGTTTATCTTGGTCTCATCGGACCACAGGA